GGACATAAAATGAGTCATAAAAAGAGTGTCTCGAGAATAGGTGTATTGTTATGTAATTGATGTCACATTCTAGAATATTGCCTGTCAGACTTTATAACGACCTCTTTTGCTGGATTAATTATTGCTCAATTTAGATGAAAGTCAATTCTTGTTGCCATCTTCATTCATCGTTTTGCGATCGTAATGTGATTCGCAGTAACGCTGACACGCTTGACCCAGAACTCAGGCAATCTGGGGTAACCCAGCTGCTTTTCCGAAAATCGATAAGACTATTAAATCATCGAGCATCACCCACGTTGTGGTTAGAAGCTTATTAAAACTACCGATGAAGGTAATAGTGGATAAACGATTGGAGAACAATTTAAATTTTCATCCCTGCAATTTGATCCTCTTTTAATCACAATGTGTGAGAGTGTATTCCATCGATGCTGTAAATAAAAATTCTTTCTTTTCATTTATCTCGTACTTTCCGATTTGTAAATTAATTCAATTATTACTAAATAAATACATTATTTCCTTTTTAATTATTTCAATCATTATTTATAATGAATCTCATTTCGAAAATATCAAATTAAAATTTCCTCGCGAATATAACGAAAATAAATTCATTCTGAATGCAATTTTTTAATTCTAATTTTAAAAATTGGAGAAATTAAACAGAAAAATATCTACTGTATAGATGAACTGGATTAATAAATATATAGAACTTTGGAATTATTTGAAAGTAACAAAGAAACTTTTTTTTTATATAACGGTAGTTTTGTAACTTTTTCAATCGCTTGGGGAAATAAATTGGAGAAAGAAAACTCAATTTGTAACAAGTTGTAGAAAGCTATAATTCGCGTAAGTTTTTTTTTGTATATGTGTCTTGGTCATTCAAGTTTGGTGACTGTGATACCCGCACACTATCTGCAACGGAAACAGACCAGCTATCCATTTCATTTGGTGAACAAGGTTAATATGCTACTGGTTATTCATATGTTCTTCAACGACATGAATTTCACGAAAGCAGGTGACCCTTTCTTATATTGACCGCTTGTGATACACTTCATGACGCAATCATTAACGTAAATAAAATTCAAAATCAAAAATTCTTTTCACCCTAAATTAGAATTTCTATATTTTTGTTTTTTTTTATTGCATTTGTAATTGTATGTTTTGAGAAACATAAATTTCCGTTTGGTTTACAGTGGTGTGTCCTTGTTCATTTCCGAATGAGACCGCAACGCGGTTTAACTAAATGGGGACAAATTAATTTTGAGGATATTGATTCTCATTTTGCCCTGGCACTTTAAAGTCATATTAGTGCAAGTTCAAACAGTGAAATTAACAGCGATTCCGATATAACTGAATGACCAAATGAAACTCAAAATTAATCAAGCGAATTGGTTATCTAGTTTACTAACAGTTTAACTCCTCTTTAGTTAACCTTAATGGTATCGTTTGCTTCAAAATTAGTACGAACTCATCACACGTACGTTATGGAATGCTCACGCTTCACAATATCAGGTTAACAGCCAACAACAATATTCGGAAAGTAAATTTAGGTATATAGAAACTTACACGCATTTCTAACAGCTAAAATTAATTTCCTAGTCTTTTTAGTTTCCTTCTTTTTTAATTGCCCAACTTCTTTATAAATATAGAAATATTTTATTTCTTTAATACATCGAAAAAATAATTTTCCCACTAAAAATATCTCTAAAATAGGTGCGAAATATTTTTTTAGAATTTAATTTTAGATTTAATTTTTAGAAAATTGGTTCGAATATGTACTTGATGAAATTTCATAATATGAAATGCTTTCGCAAATATTGATTAATTTAATAAATAAAAAATAAACAATTGACTCAAATAACAAAAATTGTGCTCTCTCTCTCTCTCTCTCTCTCTCTCTCTTCCAATCTAAAATCCATTCACGAATGAAAGAAAAGTTTTCAAAGAACATTATCGAAAGACGAAGGAATCAGAGTTGAAATATACTGAGAGCAGAAAAGGATTTCTCGCGCAGTAATATTGGAAAAAAAATACCAAGTAATAAAGGAGACAAAAGTTGAAAAAGAAAATAATAGCAACATTTGATGCTTAAGACTTTTAAAGAAACTCTTTCTTTAGTGCTTTCTTCATCTCAGTTTCACTTTTATTTTATTTTCTCCAATTATGTATATATATTTAGATAGAGACATTTCTATATTTTTATATTGAAAGCTCTCAAAACATGCAAAATCTGATATTTTGTCATTTCTGCAATCTGATCTTAAGAATAAAAGAAACTTTGACGCGAACTTTCTTAGGAAAAGCAATTATGTTTTCATTTTACAAATAGTAAAATTTAAATTAGAAAACTTAATCTCAGTTAATACTTATTTTTAAAGAAAACCTCTTCTATTAAAAATTACTTTATTTTTTTAATCAATGAAGAAAAATAGAAATCTAAAATGATTTTTTTTCTGGCTGTATTCTTTTTTTTTTTTATTTAATGGCATATCTGTGTGAAACGCGCTTTTCTCCTGTCCTCTTTACGGATTCTCATCCTCCAAAAATAGATTGGTCCAAAATGCCTAACATATTGGTTGCCTGTATCACGCAAGTTCTGTACTTGACAATATATTTGAGCGAAGGGTATTTTAACCTTGCTTTTATCGATTACAGGTGACTTACTCGTATAAATAATTTTTATAAATTCCATAGTTTCTTTCGTCCTTAAGATAATGTTATTAAAAAATAACATTTTTTTTTTAAATGAAAATGTCAAAGAAGAAAGCCTAATTTTATGGAAAAATTTCTTCATTTATTTATGAATAATCCTCTATTTTATTCACACTTTTAATTACTTAATTTTTAATTACTTTATTTTTAATTAATTTTTTATTAACTTAATTTTTAATTACTTAATTTTTATTTACTTAATTTTTAATTAATTAATTAAAAGTATAATAATTGGTACTCAACATCAGAACATCAGAAATAATATTTTTCTAACATTTTTTAATTTGAAAAATTGTTTCTATTAATTTAATTTGTACATTTTATATTTTTTAATGTTAGCACTGTGATAAATAGAAAATTCATGTCCTTGACTTACTGATAAAAAAAAGGATAAAACATTTTATTGAGCCTGCGGTAGAAATAAAATATTTGTTGAAATAAAATTACCCCATGATTAATCATTGTTTGTTTTCAATGGAATATCAAATCTCATATCAAGGGAAGTGAATAAAAAAATGTTTTCCCTGTTGGAAATTAATTTCCCTCTCGTGTGTATAATTTGTTTAATCGGGTAAATTTCTTCGCGTGAGTCGAAACAGTAGATAAACAGAGGCGTTAATATCGGAATTTCTTGATTGAGATTTTATCTTGACGTTCTTTCCTCTTTTCTTTTTTGTCCTAGACAAACGATACTTTCAATTATAAGGAGGATGAAAGACTCAAAGAGCAAATTTATCTCGATATGGGGAGGGACCTCGAAAAGTCAAAAGCTCTTTTCTCGGGGAAATAGACTTCGTATTTATATATATACATACACACAATGGTCATGGTCGCGTGACAAAATCGAATAATTGCACAATGTTCGTGTTTAGCACAAAATCTGATAATATATTTCAATTTAGTTCGAAGGTCTTTCCACGAATCAATGATAAAAAAAATAGGATACTTGTGCAATTTCAAAATGTTAAGATAAATAGGTGATTGACTTTCACTTTTTTACAATTTATAGGAGAGGAAGATTAATTATTGAAAAATAACTTTTTAAAAATCAAAAATATTTTTGAAAATATTGAAAAGCTTGTAATTAATCCCATATTCTATATATATATATATATGAAATATTTTTCAAACTATATTTGCATATCATTTTCGCAAGAAGCTTCCCAGTAATTTCTGAATGTCGTGGAAAAAGTTTTTAACGATAAACTCGCTGGCAAATGAAACTAAGTAGCGGAAAAAATTTATTCAAACCGGTTTACAGACCGCGGCTCATAAAACAAAAAATTGGAGAATAAATAATAAAAGAAGTTTCTTTTATGAATTATTTCTATCCACATGTTTTATATAATATGTATATAAAATTTTGTGACGATAAAAAAAAATGAAATCCCAAGTGAGAAATTTATTCGATTTTTCGTAAATTGTGTCACATGCCTGGCATATGTGTTTTAATTTTGGAACTTGCGACCGACTTTTTTTTAGAGCCGTCGGAGTTCTTTTTGCACAATTTTTTTGGTGAGGAGAAGAATCTTTAAATGATTAAAAAAAGATATCGTAAAATCAGAAAAATTTACTTGCCAAAGAGTTGGAGAGTTTTTTTTTCTAAATAAAAGCTATTTACAAAACCGCAATGATTTTTTATGAGTATAATATAATTTTTTTTAATTCAAAAATTGCAATTTTATAATTTATTTACTTTATTTATATACGCGGGTAATTAAAATTTTTTAATTGAAAAAGTTGAAACGAAAGTTTTTTAAAAATTGAATTAATTTTTTCAAATTAATTCTCCATATTATTAGAGAAGTCAACATTTTAAGAAAAAAAAACTTTCACATTACATTTTCTGTTATCTTTTATGATACTACTTAGTTAAAGGCATTCACCCTTGGGTATTACAGTGGAAATTCTCAAAGAAAAGTGACACTAAAAGAAAGTAGATTTTTCCAAGTTTTATCGATGACTGTTTCCTTTTGTCATTAGTTCTGCTCTTTAACTATAGTAATATGATGCTTTTTCTTCAGTTGGAAATTTTTTTTTAATCTAATAAAAAAAAAACACGATACCGGAAAATTTTTTTCATCATTATATTTTAATAATTATTTCTGCATTAAAAATAACCTCCGGCTAATTCAGCAAATTATAACAACAATAAATAGACTAAAAAAACATGGATATGGCAACATTGCTAATTTAATTAAATTTTCTGCTTAATCGAATTTATATGACTCCAAGCGTTTGATATTATAACATAAAAATCTCTTTTTCGAAAAAGCATGATTGATTTTCAGAGTACAATTCCCATCAAAGGAAAAACAGACAACAAAAAGGATGTCGACCGGAGTAAAAATGGATTTCGAGTTTCTTATCTTGTGACCTTTTACGAATCGTCATGTATCTAAATTAAAAGGAAGACAAAACATCCATGTTCGTTAAATGTTCTTCCTGGTTCCAACAATCCGGAAGTTGAATCAAACGGCTTCCAAATGATTTTCTGACGAATTCTTTACTTGCATTTTTCTTTCGTTAATTGTGCATGATTTTATTGATTTTCACCAAAAGAAAAAAGAAAAAAACTCAAAGAAAAGTTAACGAAAAAAAAGATATATCATGGACGAGGATGATGCGGAGGATTTACGAGAATCGGTAACACTCGTCAATAAATTTGTGAAAAAACAACAAACGTCAAAACGTTTAATTTCAAGTCGTTCAGTGAAGAAAGTAAATTCTAATGACGAGTCAGAAACAATGGAATGCACCTCGGAGAATGAGGTAGAAAATATCCCACCGGATGAACAGGATCCAGAGCCAATTGTCACGGATGAGAAGGGCAACCGCATTTCCGGAAGGGAGAAATCCACTGACAATGAACTTCCTGATGTTTCTGAGGAGGTGTCGGAAATTTCCGAGATCTCAGAGGCGCGAGTCACGCTTCACAAAAGCGAGACTCAAAGGCATACAACAACAGCGCGAATTCAGATACAGAGTTCGTCCTCATCAAACGAGACTGAAAATCCTCCGAGATGTAGTTTTGCTCGTTACGGTGGTGCTCGACTCTTCATGTCGGCCAGTCGAAGTCCCCAGTCGAGCTCAAGCCAAGAGGAATACGAACCGGAAGTGAAGACAATACCAAAACAAAATTTACTGACCATTGGCTCGAGTCACGTGACAGCGAGGTCCATGGAATCATTGAGAACGTCGAGAAATTTTTTGAGTGCCGACGATCGTTATTGTGAGGATTCGCGATCTCTTGAATCGCTTTCGTCAGCATCGGAGACGCACGTCAGTGCCGGTGCAAAGGGACAATATCGAAGTTTTTTGACGTCATCGAGGAAGGACGTTAGGCGAATTGTTGCACTCGAATCAAGAAGCAGCGATAATCTTCATCGTGAGGAGAGTCTCAATGCTGAAGTGAGACGAGGTCTGTTTGCAAATATGGGTCTTGAGCGGAGATTACCTCAGCATTTGAGTTTGCCACCGCCTTCGGGCATGTTTTCTTTGACGAGCCCCGGCGGCAGCGATCGACGAATTACGATCCTGAGTCCACATTCACCGCTTCCGGCTCCTGATTTTCAACAAAACTTCACCGTCCAGAGTCTCAAGGGCAGAAGGAAGAAGGCCATCGTCTTGCCGAGGTTGGTGTTGCCACGAAGCGATTCCGAGGTCTTTTTAGAGTGAGTAGCACCTGCACAAAATGCACTCTCCTTATCATTTTCCGTTGGACGTCTCTATGTTCATTATTTTATTTTTCAACATTCTTAAATGTCTATCAAAAAAAATAAATATCAAGCTCTTCTAGTAAAATACTATGCCGTCAATTTTGGACACGACTAAGAACTGTATTTTATATTTTAGTACGAAATCGTGGAAATGCAGTGCATTGTAGTACCAGAAACTGACGGCAGAGTATAGTTGATCGGTCGATAATAAAGTTTCCTTCATTTTGAATAATTTCTAATATCACAGAGAGAAGGACGTTTTATTAACACTGGTAGACTTTGTTTAAAATCTAGATTTACAAAATCAAAAATCTCGTTTCCTCTAACGATTATTTCAATTGACAAACTTTTTCTTAGTTCAATTCCGGACGATCCGTCGGTAAACATGGTATCAATTGCACGTATGGCTTTTCAAAGCATGCACCCTATATATATATATATATATGACACTCGTAGATTTCACAAGCTTTTCACAACTCCTTTTAATTGGAATGTTGTATCTATTGAAAGCTTCGATTGCTTTTGATCAATTTCATCTAAACCCGTTTCTGTATCATATTCCTGAAATCTAATTTAGCCAGATTGTTTGCAAGGTTATATTTGATTGACATTCCTCGAATATTCTTTATTATATTTATATTTGTAATTACTTCAATAAGATTTCCAATGAAATTTACTCATATTTCACTTAAAAATTAGATTGAAATAGTCAAATCTATTTAACTAATTAATGATAATGCAGATTTAACTGTTATTGGTAGAATGGAAAAAATTAATTAGTAATTTAGCTTTTTTATTATTGTTTTTCAATAAATAAAGTTAATAATTTAAAATATTTTATTTGAAACAACAATGGTTATCGACGGTAAATGCAATAAACAAAAATCTTTATAAATACCATATAAAATTCGTAACATTGCAAAATTTAAGCCACATGGAATTGCGGACGCATAAAAAACGAGAATATCGAAGGTTATATATAGAGGGATAAAAGGGCCGGGTCTAAATTGCAAAAAAGAAACTAAAATTTTAAATTTATTGACGCTTGTATAGCGGAGATTTGAATTGGGAATAAAATTCATATTACATTCGAATTGAACGTTAAAAACATTTTTCCCTTGATTTCAAAAGGACATATAAAATTAAATGATTCATAAGGAAACACAAATATGAAAATATATATATAAGTTTACAAATATAAATGCATTCATTAAATGAATGATAAAACAAAAGGTAAAAGGGCTTTTAACAGTGCGTTATGAAAAAATCCCATTAAAGTTAATTATATTTTAGTGACAATTTTTTTTTTATTAAATCGATTTTATCATTAAAAGCTTGCGATTTTAAACGACCATCACCATTCATCTCTTCGTTATGGGGATTGAAATGGCTTTGCAAACTATTGAATTGGCCATCAATGAATTTAGTGACAAATCAATTCTATTAAGTAGAAATTTATTATATTTATCATTTGGATGCATATTTTGAATAAATCCATTGTTTTTGCTTCAAAAAATTATTCTATAATATTGTTTTACGCATTGTTGAGTATTGTATAAGCGTAGAGAAAAATAGTCATTGAAAATGCACTTTATTTTACCTTCTGTCAGCTAAGTTGAGCTTTACATAACGGTAGCTTTAATCAATTGTAGTTTGAAGAGTCATTAATTTTAATTGACTGTAGTTTTGGTTATTGATAGTTTCAATTTATGATAGCTTTAGATGTTGTAAATATTTTTTAAGAATAAAATATTACTTATCGATTTGTTCACTGATTTATTGTTGTAATAAAATTTTGTTATTTAATGAAAATGAAATCGCTCCATAAAATGTTTGTGATTGAACCTACATCGATTTGAAAACCATAGAGTTGCATAAATTATGCAAAATGGAAACTCTTGAAAGTTATCATACTATATCAAAGTTTGCTTTCCACTTGAATAAGTTAGTCGTAAAATTTATAGTACGTGAATCTCCCAGTTTAGTGCATATATGTATAAATTTTGGATGGAATTAGCTCTCTATTGAAAATATCAGTAGCTACTTGAAAATTTTCTATTCTCTTAGAAATATGACATTTCATTAAAACTGGACTCAAAAAATAATTATTTCATTCATTACTTGACAATGAAAATTATTAAAACTTATTTTATTTAATTTGTTTTTATTTTTTTTTAAACTTTCCAAATTGTAAATTTTTATTCTCTTTTATTAGGTATTTTGCAATTTATGTTTTTCTCTATTACAATTAACAAAACTTAAAGAATTTAGGATCAATAAATGGCATAGATGTTACTATATCAATGTTAATATAAACTTTATTGACATTTGCGGCAAACTATATGTACACATCACACATATTAAATTAAACTACGTGCTTTGATATTTTTTTCAAAAAACAAAATGGTAAATATTTGCATTTCTACGAAAGAAATTTTCTCATATTTACATATTTTATATATTATTTGTCTAAATAAATAGCATTAAATTTTCTGAATTTAAAATAAATTCATTGTATGAGAAGAAAAACTGAAATGTTGTTTTACGAAATTGAAAAATGAATTCTTTTTTCTTTTACATTTAATTAAGGTTTGCTTGTAGCAACAAAAAAATTTTTAGCAAACCAGTTTTTCTTTATTGCTCCCCCATTGTTAACTGTGTTTTAAATTGAGCTTCTGACGTCACGAGTTTAGTTGAAGAGAGCCCTTGTTCTATAACTGTAGATTCTAAACGAGGCACTTTCAATTCGGCCTCACAGTACTGTTCTCGCCTTTTCAGCGAAAATTGTCTTTTCCAGTTGAAAAATAAAAAAAAAGAACATTACAAGCATTACGAGAACGGTTAATCCTACTGGTATTGATCTTTCCAAGTTCAGCCTATTACAAAAACGTTTTAACTTTGTATTTCAGTCTTCTCTCTCGGGATTACGGTATAATTTAATAAAAATTACCATTTCTTAAGCATAAAATTTTTTTATTTTGTATTATTGATACAATTATACTACACTTTGATTCAACTGAAAAAAAATTCTTTTTCAATTTTACACTTTTGTAAAAATAAACTTATTGTTTATAAAAATAATTATTTATAAAAAAAATGCATGAATAATTTTAATTAAATAAATAAAAAAAATTCGGAAAATAATTTTAATAATGAATTTCGATATTTTCAGTAAAATAAAAAAATTGTTATATTTTCAAGAGAACAATAGATAGTTGATCGCTATTATAAATCTAATTAATATATTGATGAACAATATATAAAAAATCTATTGTTCTTTATATGAGAACATTCGACAGGTAATTAGAGCTTTTAATATTTTATAATGGAATTCTCTTTTTTTTTTCTACAACAAGAAAGTGTTTCGACAATGTGATGCATTTTTGAAATACATATTTTTAATTATTAGATAAATTAATGACGGGGAAAATGATTGATAAAAAGATTAGACTGCATAACTTAATTAATCGAAGATGACTGAATTTAAATTTAGGAATTAGCGGTTTCACTATGTACTTGTGAATATACGCTTTAATTGTAATTGCAACCTATAGTAGAATAGTAATTACTTT